GTGTTCGCCCAGGGCGCCAAACAGGCTAGGACCGCCACTGATTAGCATCACCTTCCTGGCAGGCAAAATTCAGACTAAATCAGGCTAAATAAATACACTTTTTTGCAGTGTATTTTGGATGTAGGGTTTATTGTTGTTCATCCTGTTTTTATCAACTGACTTTTGACTTCTAAAAAGGTGAATTAAAAAAAAAATCATTATGAGGAAATCAATGTGATGTTAGGGGAAGCCAAAAAGACAAAAGCATTTTTAAAATCTGTGAAAATATCTGGTAATAATATGACTTAAATACTAGAGATATGCACAGTTTGCATTTAATTCCTCCAAAATCACAACAGTGGGCTTTTAAGAGAAATCTAAGAAGGTTTTTACAGGTGTTATTTGTGAGATGTAAAAGCTTTTACCACAATCATGTCTATTTGTGTGTTTGTATGTGGATGCATGTGATAATGTTCATCTCCCATATATCAGTTACACTATGCACAAAGCAAGACTAAGGCGAACAAAGATTTTTATCCTTTAAATGTACATGAGTGTTTGCTGGTAGGCTCTTCAGAGCCACAGCAATCCCAGCAGTGAGCTCTAAGTAGCCCTGATTGAATCTGGCCTCCCTCTGCTCCTCTCCATTGCTTTTAGGATGCAGAGATAATGTTCATTAGCAGCGACGGGTGGGGATTTTGGAAGGCGGATGCTCGTGTGTTGCTCATGTGTGGCAATAATGGGGTCTGATGGGAGGTTAATGGTATTTGGTTGAATATGAAGCTGTGACTATTATGTTGTATGGATGTTACTAGAGCACTAAAAATTCCACCAAAATTCAAAATTCTAAACACTGGGGGACGTGTGCCACAACAAGTCGACAGAGGCTCGAGACGATGCACTGCCAGACACCACAGCACACTGCAGGAGGTCCTGTATCCATACTTTGACTGATCAAAGCTGCTTTGGTGTGTCTTTCGGTCTCTGCTGTTGCCAGGAAACCTTATACAGACACAGACTATGAAGCCACAATGTATCAGTTATTACACTTACTGTTCAAATTAAGAAAAAAAAGAAGAAGAAGAAGTAACGCTTAGCAAATGCTTGATTTAATGCAGGCTGTGTCATGGATTTCCGAGGCACACCGTTAAAAAGTGCCACTACCAAATCACTTTATGTGATTAGTTCACTTAGCTGATCACTTAGGGAACATTAACTCACAGTTTCTTCATATATAAATGGATGTACAATGATATTAGCAGGATTAGGTACTAAAAACTTTATTGTAAGATTATTTATTTGCTAAGCTTTTTTTTTTTTAAAACTTTGATACATATTTTTATTTTCCAAAAATATGAGTTTATTCCTTCTATCAAACTTTTCACCAGATGCATAGATTTCCACAGTAAACACGAGTATGTATTTATACTCACATACATTCTCCGGAGACTGGTCTGCATCCACATTTTGACTGTGGACCAGTTGTGTACAGTGAATTTAAGAACCCTGTTTGAGATGATCTGAGCTTTGTGACAAGGTGGGTTATTCTGCTGGAAGCAGCCATCAGAAGATGGATACACTGTGGGCATGGACACGGTCAGCACAATACTTGGGTAGGCTGTGTTGTTTAAAAATGTTCAGCTGGTGCCACATCATTATACAACCAGCAGCAGCAGCCTGCACTGCTGATATAAGGCAGGACAGATCCATGCTTTCATCTTGTTTATACCAAATTCTGACCCTAACACCTGAATGTTGCAGCACAAATTGATACTCATCAGGTGAAGCAATGTTTTTCCAATCATCTATTGTCCATTTTTTTCCTCTTCTAGCTGGCAGGAGTGGTTGACCAGTGTGTGATCTTCAGCTGCTGAAGCCCATCTGCTGCAAAGTTCAAAATGTTGTCCATTAAGAGATGCTCTTCTGCATACCTTTGTTGACTCTTTATGTTACTGTTGCCTTCCTATCAGCTCAAAGCAGTCTGGCCATTATTCTGTGCCATTCATCCAGATAACTACCAATTACCACTATCTGTAAACTCTAGATATGATTGTGTGGGTAAAAAAATCCAAGTAGATAATCAGTTTCTGTAATGTTCAGGCCAGCTCCTCTGGCAACAACAACATGCCTAAACTAAAAGTTGCAGTTCAACTGTACCTAATAAAGAAGCCAGTGCACTCTCTTTTGAAGCTAAAATAATTTTTAATTAATTCATGTATGAAGTAAGTGTGAAAATTCTTTGTCTGATGCTCTAATAAGTTTGAAATGATCGCATAACGTGTCAGGAGCTGATAGCACATCTTGAGTTTTTTTTAATTTCTTCTTTTTTTTTAAACCATTACTGTGTGAATTACATTAGTGATCTTTAAATATACTATTTTGAAAATTTCGCTGATGTTGGAGAATCCCCAGGTCTTGCTTAAGGCATGAAACTGTGATCCATCTCCTCCACTAATTCTTGGGAAAAAAATCTTACCTTTAATTCACATTGAATATATGATCTTCAATCAGCTTTTTTCATTTCCCCCTCTTTGTTTCCTGTCTTATTCCTCCTCCTCCTCTCTGTCCATGTAATTAGCTGGAGTCGTTTTGTCTAGCAAATTTAAGACCACGTCTTCCTTCTGCCCTCTCCTCCTCTCACATCACCAAAGGGAGTTCTGGGTAGTTACACTTCACTGATGTGTGCAGACTCAAGAAGCCTGCAGCTTTTCCATTCTCATTACACACACACAAACCAGACCCATAGACCCACCAGCTGAGGCCAGTTCCACTGTAGGATAACTATAGTTGACTTATTAAGCCACAGATCAAATATATCTGAATTCCTCCTCTCAGATTTTTGTGAGGAAACAGATTTGATAAAGTCAGTGGGATTTTCTCTTTTTTTAATTTCTGTATCTTTGTGTTTTGGTGAAATCACACAGCTGGTTTGATGATGACTGACAGTGGTGAATGATTTTATTGATCCCCGTGCAATTTCTCTGGGGACTCCAGCTTCTTTCCACAATCCAAAGAAATGCATGTTAGGTTAATTGGTGATTCTAAAACCTGGTTGTAGGTGTGGATGTGACAGTGTTATGTTTGTCCCTTTGTTGACCTTGTTGACCGGTATAATCTATAATCCCAATCTTACCTTTTGAGAGCTGGGATAAGCTCCAGCCTCCCTCAGAAACTCTGAGTCAGACTTGAGAAAGTTGTTCCGGTTGTTTTGTATTTGACTGGTGAAACTGGTGTTCAGAGCAAATGTGGATTTGGACAAAAGCTGTGTGGTTTCTGAATCTCTCCATGATAACCTTTATTGAGTTATGTTTTAGTGGGCCCTGACCTTTGACTGCCCAGTGGGAGAAAGACAGATGAATATCCTATATGCTCATTTTGTCTTACTGCAAGTGGCAGCCTTCCAGGATTTTATATATACATGCTAACAGGGGCAACAATACTTTTGTTTTACTGCCAAGAACCTGCTTCGGTGTTATTAACTACATTTAATCATAATTTAATTAATTAAAAGATTTACTTTATTTTTTCTCTACTTTTAACAACAACTTTACAAAGTAAAATTCCACTTTGAATTCTCCATCTACTGGAGGAGATAAGGTTGGTTCGGGGGTGTATCTTCCCTGGGGGGTTTCTAACCGTTATCGCTTCCTGTTTGTTGTCACACATGTTAAACTGAGTCGATCAAGGAGGTGCAGAGCGAAACTGACGCCCGGTCAGTGAGCGCACTGGGGCGGGCAGGGCGATGCGGTCACCGGGGTACTTAAATCTTTTATCTTAAGAATGGCTGCTTTGGCGATAACGGGATTGACGTATTCCCGCTAGCTCCTCAACTCACTTTCCCAAAGAAAGCGCTGTTTGTAAGGGGGGCTCTGATCTCTACAGCCGGTTTCCACTGCGCGCAATCACAGCTCTAGGACCAGCGGTACAGTCGGTGCGCTCTGGCAGAAAGCATCCAGCCTCTTTGTCTCTCGGTTCTAACAGCAATCGGTATTCTTTTCAATATCCCCGACCCTCACTCACCGCTCGCAATGAAACCGTTGTAATCCACCCTGTTAATTGTCTTTCTTTTTTTTTTTCTTGGTTTCACACTTTACTTACTGCAAAGTGAGCGCAGAGAAGAGGAAAACGCGGGAAATACTCTTCATCTGCAAGTTTTCGTGTGTGTGCCGCACTGGAGGGGAGGAAGAGATGGCAGCCCCGGTGAAAGCAGCCCTGGCTCTCCTGATTTTCACCGTGACAAGTGAGTAATCCTTTCCAATCCTCTCGGAACGGGACGGGAGACTTTACTTTATTGGGCTTTAAAATCTGGCTTGGGTTGGCCATTGCAAAATTGCACACCCTCTCTTACACAAATGCATGTCAGTTAATATAACAGGTCTGATAAGTGATGGATTTAGTTGCTGATAAGTGCTTTCCTAAGGGGTTTAATTTCTTGGAAACATGGTTAAGCCACACTTTTACCTTGCAGACAGAGGTGGTCTCGGGAAAGCAGGCCAGTGGGGATAAGTAGCGGCATTTCCATGCGTCAAACCCTTTAGCACGTGATTTTTCTGCACGCTTCAATTAACTAACACGCTTGTCGTTTAGGCAGAAACCCCACGGAGTTTTAATTACATTTGCATTTTAAGGGCAAGGGTGTGAAATCTGAGTAAGGAGCATTCATCACTCATTTTAGTTTGGTTCAAGACTTCATAGCCTGTAATTTAAATAACAAATCTGGCACCATGCATTGAAGAGAACTCGCGAAACAGCTGACTGCGTGGTTGTAAGTGCAGATACAATTATTGCTTTTAACCTACATGAAATGCCTTCATTGCCAGTAAGTGAAAAAGACACTTTGATAACAATAGCAGACATTTAAATTGAGAGTTTGCTTACTTTAACTTACATCACACCTATCAGATGATCTCCCCACCAACAGTCAAGTAAAGTAACTTATGAGGTCCTAAATCAGGCAGGAGGAATCTATTATTGAGCTGTCAGTGGTGCTGAAATTGGATCAATGTGCAGCTCTACCAGGCAAACCCCAGTACCCATTGTGTTTGCTTCTCCAGTTCAGATAGACAGAGAGATAGAAAAACAGTTTTACAACTACTGCAGTGGAATTAAATTCAGTAACTGAGGGTTTAATTTGCCCCCCTGCCATGAATAGGGCGTGTTGTTACTGGAAGAAAAGTATGCTGTGCGCAGATAATATGAATTCATACGGGGGAATATGGTAAATGTGCTGATTCTTTTCTACTCTGATTGAACACTCAAAGCGCTTTATACAACATGCCTCAGTCACACATTCATGCAAACACTTTTTTCTATCTGACAATCACACAAACTCATACGCACAAGGATACAAGGATACCTTGACATGCAGACTGGGGAAACCAGGGATCAAAACACCAAGCATGCAATTAGTAGATGACCTGCTCTACCTCCTCGTGTATTTCATCAGTTGCTGTATTAATAAAAATCTCAATATTAAACATGTTGTAAGTTCAAAAAGAAAGTCACTTTAATTTTTTTGAGTATTCAGTAAAACAGCTAATAAATTAAGCAGCATTAGCTAAGTGCATTCATATTATTTAAAAAAGTACAAAAGTGAAGTTCATGGTTTCAGACTTGCTTGTTCTCTGTAACTTATTCTGTGTCACCTGTGCTCTGTCTGCCGGTGATTCACTGTATGAGTCTGTCACTTCAATCAAACATTCTCATGGCTCCAACTCTAAAAGGACGAAATCCAGTCAGCCACTCTGCTGGGATGCATTTGCTCCATTGTGTTGGCTTCCCTACCGTTCTCACTCTGTGTCTCTGTTCCTGCACACCATCTTTTTTGCCTTACTCCATATTTTCACACTTTGTTTGTTTCCTATACTGCAACTTATCTAATATTTTCAGTGCTGCATCACACATTTCTCTGCCTTCTGTGCTCTCAGGATCATTTGCAGTAAATGCACAGTGCTAATGTGTGCTACAGCTATGCTATGAGATGTTTTGCTCATTGTAGGCTTGCAAGCTCTTTAACATATTTCACGAAACCATCAGCGTCACCATACCCTGATTCTGCTTCTCTGTAGCTCATGTGTGATGCATTATACGTGAGTGGGCAGAATTGTGCAGCTCCTAGTTTGTGCTTGTAGTTTCTCATGACTTTAAAACTGGTTTCTCATAACTGCAGATGTATATCTCGCCAGCAGGGCCCAGCATCACTGAGTCAACACTTCATAGTAAACTATTAGTCATTGCGTTGGCAGGATTGTTTGGATGCTGCGCTTTGAAGGAGAGATGCATGCCGATGAAAAGATGTATCGAAGTGCTTTGCAAAGCAAAAAGAAAAAATGAAAGCGGCACCAGGTGGTGCACACCTAAGCAATGCTTCCACTTAGAGGTGACACTGAGCGAGCTGAGCGCAAAAGAAAGGCACTTTTACTGCATCTGCTGTCTCTCTTATATCCTAAATCTGCACATGTTCCTGTCACGCTGTGAACAAAAGAGCAAAGCAGGACAGGAAGACATGAGGGAGAGACTGTGACAGATTAAAAGAAAATCATTGTAATAAGAGAATTTGTTTTATTCTCACAGACAGAAGGACTGTCTGGGATGAGGAAAAGTTTGGGGCAAAACAAGTAAAAGAAATCCCACGAGGCGCCAAAAACACAAAAATCTCTCAGGCAGTAGATTTGCTACGAACAATATAAAATGCGTGGATGTGAGACTCTGTGGATGTGTATGCACGCAGGCCTGTATTTTATAACATGACTGATATGGACAGCATCCTGAGTAAAACCAAAGACAGCTGAAGCCTAAATTGTTTTGGCCTCTGAAAGGCCACTGCAGATGGTAACACGCTGAATAATTCACTAACCTGAAAAGAAACCTACAGGATGTAGAATTGTTTTTTCCTCCCCTCTCTTCACTCTTGACTGATGACACAACCTCTCTGTCCATCTGCATCACTCAAACTCAGCGGCACGCCTGAAAGCTTGTTTTTGTTTGTTTTATAATTATTTCCATGTTGTGATGGAAACGGCGTTGATTTTATGCGAGCGAGAAAGACTGGGAGACTAATCTCTGATTGTGTCTGCGTCTCCGCGCAAGTTAGATGATGGCATTTTTATTTTAGCGGTAATGAATTATTGAGGTGTGGAGAGTGCAGTGAGGCAGACAGGAGTGTGTGTGCATACATGTGTGATGAGACCTGTTGGTAGACTCCCTCCCGCTCCATCTCTACTTAAGCCGTATCCGCATCTTATTTTAGCATCATCTACCATTTTAGCCATTACCGTCGAACCCACCATCTATATCGCATCTCTTCATCATTTTTCAGACACATGAAGCAAATTGTCTTTCCCAGTTTGTTCATGTTTTGTGCTGGATTTATTTTTATACTGCCTCTTTACATTTTTAAGGCAATGCGACGTTTCTTGTTTCTCTCAGGCTAAAATCAGAGTGCAGCCATGGAACAGCCACAAGCTGAAGTCACTAGAGAAGGAGTAACGCGTCAGGGTCAAACAGCTACAAAACTGTGCATTCAAATTAGAAACCACATCTGTTTAGTTATTTCACTTTGTTCTACTACAATGCTCTTTTTGTATAGTGTATAGATGTGTTTGAATTTTGTCTATTGCTCCTGCTCCAAATGACTTTTTTTACTGATTGTTCTCTGCTTCAGAAAGATTGAAACACTTAGGGCAAATAGCGAAGGCGATGAGAATGATTTTAGTCACGATAGCAATAAAATGTTATATTTCAAAGTAACTGTGAGAGCTGCAGACTGAAAGACTTCTCTAAAAAAAATACTGTGTCTTTATAATCTTAAAACAGTTGTGGGAAATAGTTTATTGGCAGTGCTTAACTTGAATTGCCCCATCTGACAACAAAATTGTTTTGCACTGGAACTTTATTTCTGTGCTGGGATAAGCTGTTTTTAAACATGTTTTATTTGTTGCGTCCTATAAATAGAATCACATGCAAAGCAAATGTGATAATTAACAAATAGAAACAAAAATAAAATAAAATGAATCTGTAAAGAGTATACGACTGAGGACTCACATATATGACATTTGAGGTTGAGTCATTGATCAAAAGTACTGAGCGAATAAAAAAAGAACAATAAATATGAAAATCAAAAGAACATAACGAAGAAAACATGCAGGAGCCAAGCAGGACAGCAAAAACAGACACTGTAACAAGAGTACGACAGGACTATACACTCACTGGTCACTTTGTTAGGTAAACCTTCCTGTAACTCTTTTTGCATTCAAAACTGCTGTAATTATTCGTGGCATAGATTCAACAAGGTGCTGGAAACATTCCTCACAGATTTTGGCCCATTTTGACACGAGAGCATCACATGGATTCAGCAGATTTTCCAGCTGGACATCTACGATGGGAATCTCCTGCTCCACCACATCCATGGAGGCCATTCGAGTACAGTGAAGTCATGTGCTGTGTGTTATTTGCCTGCTTAAAGCAGTCAGACTATCCTCTTACTGTGGGGCTGATCACCACAAAGGAGGTTAAAAACAGAAAGTAAAGCGAAAAACTAACAGGAAGTAACCAAAAGACAAAATACTAAACACAGACATGAATAACAAACCCCTGTGTGTAGGTGCTAATGGAAAGACATGAGAGAGTGGACAAGAGACGGGAAATACTAAGGGATTTAAAACTACTACAACCAATAAAAACCAAGATCTGAACCAAAACACTCAACACTGGAATAACCAGACACTAAAAACAGCAGAAGACACAGGACTAAAATTTTAACATAAAAATAACAATAAAATTAACAGGAACCAAAAACTCAGTCTCAACATAAGAATCCAAGACTGATTTTTTGGTACGTGATACCTTCAAACTCTGAAATCAGAAGAGCTGAAGGCCACCAAAATCTGATAACCAGTTGATTTTAATTAGAAGTAGAAGCTGGCCCCACACGGCTGTTTATTGCATGTAAACAGTGAATTGTTGTCAGGCTTTAATCCCTTTAAAAATGAAACTCATAAATCCCTGTTATTACTCATCACCATAATATAGCATGATCCTATTTAATTTTATCTGATGATTATACTAATCTGGGAATTGTTTTGTCTCACGCTCTGATGTTTCCATTGTATGTTGTCGTGTCTCTATTGTCCTCTTCTCCTGGCACGAGTCTCCTCTCCGTCTAATCCTGACAGACGCAGCTTTTTGTCTCTGAGGAGGTTTACCTTCGGGGTTTCTTGTCATAGTCGCTCAGACACCGGACACTTCTCCTGTCTCCTGTCTGAAGGTTAATGTAAAGTGACCAAGTGTAGCATATACCTCTTCTTCTGTCACCTGCCTTTAAAGCTCACATCCTCTTATTTTCAGTCCGATTCTGACATGTTTCAAAACATATTGGTTTCTTGAGTATATCTTGACAAGACAGTTGAGAGCATGGCCGCAAAGCTATACAAGTGAAGTGCCTGAACATGTGTGTTCTTCTAAGTCGATGCACAATGCCATTATGGGGTAGAATATGGTTAGAAAATAGATTTCAGTGCTAAAGTTGTTTAAATATACTGTGTTTCAAACAGCAATTTGTTTTTGCCCCTCAGCAGTAAAAGGCTGATGGGGTATTGTCATAGAGAACAAGGCACATCTAATAAAAATCTTGGTTCAGAGGTCAGTTTTGGTGAAAATTACCTAGGATTTTCAAACTTTAACCACAGGTGCAACTAATAGGAGGCTGAGGGCACTGCTATGATATTTTGACTTGCTTCTTCGCAACTTCAGTGTTACTTGCTTTGGCCAGGCAAAGGCAGATCACAGTTTACCTGCTTTGTGTCTAGCAAAGCCAAAGATGACTCATCTAAACAGACACCACTGCATAATAGAGGACTGGCAGCGTTACTCTTCATTAAGACACTGACACAAACCCCGTTATTTACTTTTCTGGTTCTCTGGTGTTTTGTTTGTACTTTTAGGATAAAGGTTAAGATTCAACATGTACTATGTAACATGTTTTTTTGAAGCTGGTAGTTTATGTTGCTTTGGGCTGAGATTTGCAAAGCATTAATACAATTCACTTTCCCCTGCTCGTCATTCTCCTGTATACACTGTCTTGTAAGCAGAAAACGCATAGCCAACAGTCATGTCAAGCAAAGTTTATTTATGAGGCACACACAGAAAAAAAATGCTGCCACAAAAGCCTCCCAGACCTCAAATAACATAAAAACACACAAGGCAAATCATACCAGGAAGCAACACGTTCAGGACAAAACAGGACAGCATAGAAAGCTTTTAAATGGAAATTTATGTGACAAGACTTGTTTGTGTGGCAGCACAAAAGACAATGGCTTCTTAAATTGCAGTTAAACATAAAACAGAACAGATATGCGATAACTCATCCATAATATTTCCTTTATTTAGTATTTATTCCTTAAAAAACACTAATATTTATTCCTCTTAAAATTGAATATACAGTCAGTAGTTTATATGATGAAATGTCTGGGCATGAGGTGCTTTGAGCTGGTGCAAAACTTGTTTATGTTTTTGTGTTTGTGTATTGAATTGTGACTGAATACAATTACATGTGATCTGTTTGTGAGACAGTAACACTCCCACTCATGACACATACACACGAGCGCATGAGAGCATGCAGCGGGCTGCATCACTGCAGCCGAAACCTGACAACACAAGATTTAAACATCGCTTCACCAGCTAGAGCTTTGGGCATCTGTGTTTTCTCATTCAAGTCCCACTGAAATAAAATGTGAATCGTGAGTGAGTTAGTGGTCATTAAAATGCTTTAATTGCATACACATATATTTTATAGTCACCAAGCAAAAATGCAGGGCTGCAAACAAGAAGGTATTTACTGCAGGAGACTCAAAGTAAAGTTAATGGATGGTCAACCAAACAACGGCTTATTCTGCTGTAAATTTTAGCTCAAGGTTGTGTTAAATTCAAGGTCTACATGAGGCCCCAGTTCACTGTACCCAATAACTTAAGCTGCACGGTAGTAAAGATGTGCTTACTGTAAGCTTGATCTGGCTGCATCATCACAACAAGCACTCGACTGAGATGATGAAATTACGAATAAGTCTGGCTTATTCTTGACATTTTCCGACTGTATGATAGCCAGAGGACATTTAGCTCCGTGAAACAGAATAAACTGGAGTAGCTACCATTACGTATGAGGAAGAAATATGGAATATGTTCATTCTTAGTAATGCAATTTATCTTTTATTTTATAAAATTGGAGCTAATTTATTTTAAGAAAACAGATGAAGACTGTACACAATAGTTCTGGAAACAGTCCAGAGATGCACAACGAGACAAACTTAAGGAGGGATCGGCTAAAATAAGCCAGCTGTGGGTTTTTTTTTTATTTTGATGTGGCTGTGGCTCAGGAGGTGGAGGAGGTGATCTGCTAGTTGGAAGGTTGGTGGTTTGATCCCTAGCTGTGCCAGTCTGCATGCCAAAGTATCTTTGGGCAAGTTATTGAACCCCAAGTTGATCCTAAAGCTTCATTGGAGTGAATATTAGACAGAAAGAACAGATGTGGAACGATGTTGCATAGAGTTCAGATTAAAGGTAGAAAAATACTCAATAAGAACCAGTCCAGTTACTGTTTGCTTTTCATTTACAGAGTGGAACCAGTGTTGTATTAGACTGTGCTCACACTTGCTTGTCATATCACAGTCATTAGTCAGTGCTTAGCACTTTTCTAACATGCCTTTGATAGGAGGTTATAATGGGTTGTGATGAGTTGTGATATCCTCTGTAGTGTGCTTCTGACTGTTTTCCCCCTGTGTGCGTATTTGTGTGTGCAGCTATCCTGTGTGCGGAGGTAGAGGAACGGTTGGTGAATCACCTGTTGTCACCAGAGCGCTACAACAAACTCATCAGGCCAGCTATCAACACCAGCCAGCAGGTCACCATTTACATCCAGGTGTCTCTAGCCCAGCTGATCAATGTGGTAAGAAAACACACAAACAAACCCAGAACCTCACACGCTGTGAGCAAAGAGGCATACCCTACTAATGTCAAATGACTGGGGAACACATTAACCTGGTTGTTGTTAATAAGAAGAGTCAGTGGAGCCACTGCTTTAAGAATTTCCCCATGTCTGTGTTTCAGAATGAGAGGGAGCAGATCATGACCACCAACTGTTGGCTCACCCAGGTTAGTGTCAAAGCACCTTGCTCATTATTTTTTGTTTGTTTGTTTCCGAGGATCGGACCAATTGAAAATATTTGACCATTAGGGTCTAATATCAGTGCATGAACCACTACAATTATAAATGTACTGTCATGGTCCTGGGTCAGTTGAGTTTTTGTATCATTGTTGAACTTTGATTTAGTCATTTTTTATCTTTTCTAGTCTTTTGGTTTCGGTTCCTGTGTTCCATGGTTGCTGTCCCCCCCGTCTGTGTTTCTTCCCTCAGGTCATGTCCAGTGTTTTTTCAAGACTCTGTGCAGGTCATGGTCATGTTCATGTTGCTTGTTCTAGTATATATTTCATAGTTCCTTCACGGTCCAGCACGGGTCTTGTTCATAGTTGTCACAGTCGTCGTAGTCATAGTTTTCGTTGTTCTTAGTTTCTCCAGTTTAGGTTTTAGTTTAGGTTAACCACTGTCCCTGCTGTTTGGTTTGCCTTTCTATAAGCCTTGGGTTTCGTTTAAAGTTCAGTTTTGTCTCCTTGCCTGTGTCCATGCCTGGGCCCTCCCTCACTCACACATGGTCTGCCCCGCGGACCGTGACATGTTCTTTAAATGCATTTGTATGTATTCATGTAGTTAATGATAGATGTCTCTTTTTGTCAGAAATCATGGGCATGAATACCATGGTAATTTTGGGCTTTTAATGACTTCACTGAACTGTTTTCTAGAGTGTCACATACATCTTTAATAATTAAGAAAAAACAAGAATTGGGTGCACAAGTATGAATTTTTTTTTTGGATTTCCTCTAATCCACACAGTCACCCTAAGATGAGAGGAAATTAGTTAGCATGTTTAGGAACAAGCTAGGAATCACAAAGGATCAAACCTGCCATGAACTGGACGTTGCTGGAACACCAGCATCACTGTTCACACTGAAGTTACCATGGACTGAAATTATAATCAACAAAGAAACTTCTGCTCCAAAATGAACACTTTCACATTCAACATAAATTTGCAGCTGCCCACAAGGACAGGCCGAATGTCTTCTAGAGAAATATTCTATGGTTAGATGAGACAAAGATTGAGCTTTTTGGCCGCATTGACAAGAACTATGTTTGGAGGAATAAAGGTGAGGCTTTAATACCTAAGAACAATATACCAGCTGTCAAGTATGGTGGTGGTAGCGTTATGCTCTGGGACAGTTTTGCTGCCAGTGGTACTGTTGCACAAACTGGATGCAATAATAAAGAAGGACTACCTCCAAATTCTTCAGCGTCGCCTCAAATCAGCAGCTAGATGGTTGAAACTTGGAGACAACTCTGTGTTCTAACAAGAAAACAATCCCAAACACACATCACAGCTGGTTTTGGAGTGGATATAGCAGTCTACCTTTAAGGTACTGAAACTCTGGGGACTATTCTTGAAAGTGGAGTCGTGCCAGGAAACCAAACAAATTCCATCCACTCTATCAGCTCTGACAGAAATAGTGGCCCAGAATTATGCCAGAAGCTTGTTGATGACTACCCAAAAAAAGCCTCAAATTACCACAACATTCAAGCCTATAATAAATATTTGTAAACTTGTGACCATAACTGTATGTGGCTCTTGATTTTAATTGTTTACATGTATGTTCATGCATGCCCTTACGTGCCTTTCTACACCAGGGTTGGAATGACTACAGATTAATGTGGGATCCTGAAGAGTACGAGGGAATCAAGAAAATCCGACTCCCGTCACAACACATCTGGTTGCCTGACATTGTCCTTTACAACAAGTATGTCCTCTTTGTGACAGACGCAATAAATGTGTGTGTAAAACTAAGTGATGAAAGTAGGAACTGACAGAAAGCTTGAGTAACTTCACTTTAATATTTACAAAAGCCCCATTTCCCTAAAAGCTTTCCAATTCTATCCTCTTACTCAGTCTATCCTCCTATCTCATTTTTAGCCCACTTGTCACTTCTTTTAGGTTAATAAATAGTGAATAATGAACCAACAATTTTTTAATGGCATTGTATGGAGCGTCTGCAGATAGTCTGATAATAATGAAGACTGTTTGAATGTTAGAGAGCGTATGAGTCATTCACACAAGGAGATTATGAATTAGAATGGTAGAATCAGGCCTGTTGTAGACAGAGTAAAACAATTTGTTTTTATCTCTTAAGTGTTAATCCGTAAGGTCACCAGTTTTGGTGCACTTGAATAATATTATTTTTTAATCAATATTCACTGCTCCATTTGAGGTTAACCTTGCAGTATGCAGTAGAGACTGCTTCACACTGCACTAAATGTTTACCTTTCTGGTTTTTTAGACTTCCTGTAAACATTTGCAGTTTGTTTATGATTGGAAAGAAAAGCTTCAGATTTATTCCCGCGCAATTCTGCAACTGCTGTGTTGACAGAAACACAGAAATCCAGACTTTCCAACTTAGTTACATTGGACAGCAGGATATCCTTGTACATTATTGATTGTTTTGTACTGCGAGCACAGGTATACAAAATGATGAGGTGAGAATATCTTGGCACATCTGGAATTTATCTTGTAACTTTGGAAAATGGCTGCAGGGAAAAATCAATACATCAGTACTTCTGCACTGTAAAAAACAGAGGAACCCGGAGAAATAAGCTGCACTGCTCTTATTCACTGGAGAATCGGCTGACAGACGCAAAGGCCTGTGAACGTCACGTCGTCTGTCACCCATATAGGTCAGCAGATGGGTCTCATCTCCATCTGTTAGTTTCTTGAAAAACATTAACTGTTGATTTTGTTGTACCGCAGAACAAAAGCATCATAGCCAAATGCAGTTTGAGTTTTTGCTGAATTTTGTTTTGTGTGGTGATCAGAGGTTTTTTTCATCTGGCTTTTCTGTGTTAAGTTTGCTGTTTTCCCTGTGCCTGTACAGCTTCTCTCTGGGCCACATTCCAGAAACCTGCACTTTAGGTTAATTCCTGATATGTTGTTTGCTTGACACAGTCAAGCAAAGTCAAGCAGTTTTGCACAAGCATGCATAAATAGGTACTGTTTTTTCTACCTGACCATAGGAGAAATAATTTGAGAATATAATTCTTTGAATAGTAAAAGTAATTTTATTTCTGAATTTAAGAGTTGTTGCAGAAAGTTAATATGAGTGTGAAAGCTGTGTCTGCCTCTTTAGGCTGCAGGAATAATTACACTGAGCCCACGGTTGGTGTGGGCTTACGATGAGGAAAAACCACAGCAGTGGTAATCTGCTTTGTTTCCTGTTAATGGTTTTATTCATTAGACCATAATGTTTCATTTGAAAGATGAATTTCTTTTTTGTTTGCAGCATCAGAAATCTTTTTGTATGCGTTCTCCGCTTTCCCGCCACAGGATTTAATAAACTAATTTCTGCAGTGTCTTGATGCATGTTCAGTCATCCAGGTAAGTAAATCCCAAAAGGTTGATTCTGTTCATCTGGACGTAGTGTTTTCAGTGGGAGAAAAGTTTCGTCAGTCAATCAAGTGACTTCTTCTGTCTCTGGCGACTGCAGGTTTCCCCAACCTTACAAATAGTACATTTGCACAATGGGCTGGTAGGTCAGTTTCTTAAATGTTAATATGCAAATTCTCATGACCAATGATCAACAACCACTGATTAAAGCCCATCGATCAAAGACCATAAGTACCATTCACAGAGAGTTGGGGAATGGCCGCAATCACAGCATTGTAAGATGGCGAAAGTAAGATTTGCATGAAAAGGGAAAGACCATCTCTGAATCGAGGAGGAGGCCTAAGGGAACATCTTTCACCATCTGACAATGCTGTGATTGCAGCTGTTCCCCAGCTCTCTGTGATATTTAAGTCCAGTAAGTTGTGATTGGAGCATTCATGACCTTGTTGTTGAGCACATTTCCCAGTTGCTTGATTGGATTGATATCTGCACAATTTAGACCAAGTCTGTGAAGGTTCTCAGTCATCCAGGTCATTGTAGTCTAAGGAGCTTGAAAAGAAAAGCGTCTGGACTTCTTTAAGTTGCTTGAAATTGAAGCAACTTAAAGAAGTCCAGACACTTTTCTTTCCAAGCTCCTTAGACAATTTAGACCAAGTCAACACCTCAAGCTCATTTATGAACCATTTTTGCTTTGAGGCAGGGCACATTATGCTGCTGAAAGAGGCCAGAGACATTAGAGAAAAGCATTTCCATGAAAGGGTGTACATGGTCTACAACAATGCTTAGCTAGGTGGTATGTGTCAAATATGCACATGGATGGCAGGACCCAACGTTTCCCAGCAGAACATTGCCCAAAGCATTGCATGCACCGGCCATCCACGGGATGTAAACGAAAGACCAGGCCACCTTCTTCCATTGCTCTATGGTCTAGTTCTGATGCTCACGTGTCCATTGTTGTCACTTTCAGCATGGGCACCCTGACTAGTCTGTGGCTGTGAAGATACATGCGCAACAAACAGCAATCAATTGTGTTTCTGACAATTTTCTATCAGAACCAGCATGAACTTTTTTTTGACAATTTGAGCTACAGCACCTCGTCTGTTGGAGTGGACCACACAGGCCAGCCTTAGCTGTCCATGTGCATCAGTGACCCTCAGCTGCTGTTACCTTGTCTCTGCTTCATCATGGATCATCAGACCACTTTTGATAGATATTGACCGCAGCAAACAGGGAACAACCCACAAGACCTGACACTTTGGAGATACTTTGACCCAGTCACCTACATCAAACTCGCTCAAATCCATACACTTGCCCATTTTTCCTCCTCGTACCTCATCACCTTTGAGGATAAAATGTTGCTCGCTAATCTATCCCACCTACTAACAAGTGCTGTGATGAAGTCAGTGATACTCATGTTGCCTGTCAGTGCTCATAATGTTATGCCTGATTAGTGTAAGAGCAACTACAAGAGATTTCCTTGACTCTGATTAATCAGCACTGTGTGAACTCATTTGTCATTGCCTTGCACTTAAGGCAATGACACTCCAGCTTAAAAGTGAAAAGTTAAAAATTAACCATAGTCTATGTCACTATACTAAAGGAGCATCAATAACCAGCAGTGTACATGCATTTATCTTTCTACAGTGAATAAAGCCAACAGTGTACAGTGTACATGCATTAATTCACTTTTACACTGAATAAAAGTAGTGAATTATTACATGTGTATGCAATAACTTGCAGTTAACATTGCAGTTAAAAAGGTTATCTAAGAGCAAGAGCATCTTTTTAAGAAACCACACCACACACGCTCTAAAATGCACTCCTGAAGCTGCAGGGTACTGAGGTATCTACTGAGCATTTAGGGTTTGGAAACCTTGTTTTAGGGCATCTCAGTGTTGCTAATGAAGGACAAGCAGCTGTTTTTTATTCTCTTCCCAGATTTATCCAAGTTTCCCCTTAACTTATGTAATAATTTACATGAAAACAACCTCTTGTGTCATGACAAAATCTCCAACAACTGTTCTTGAACTCTGAGTCATGATTTTCACCGGCTCATGGTGTTTTATGATTGAACTTCGGCTTTTAGGCCAACATGGAGAAAAGTTCCCAAAGTGCGCAGGATAAAAAGGGAAACTTGAGTTTGAAATGAAACCTCAGAAAACATGCGTGATTGTTCTCTCAGCTACTGTAACCACTAAGCTTGAGTCTGACAGAGTCTTACAGTTGTTTGAACTGTTCTTGTGTTTTGACCTTGTGCTTGCAGGCATTCAAATTTTATGAATGGAGATTGCTCATCAGCTGAAGGACAACCTGAAGAGCATAATAGCTTAAGAGACCAGTGAGAGGTCATCTATCTATCGCTGTTTGGTAACTTCAGGTTGAGGTCTAACTTTGGGAGACCTGAGGTCACAGTAAGCAGGTGGGGCCTCTGCATTTTTTATTAGTCTGGATATACACAGCAGCCCCAAAGCATTAGAGGCAAGTGGGATGGTTGTATTCCTGACCCACTTTATAATTGATAGGCCACTTATTTATAATGCATCCCCTGCAGTCCTGATGAGATGAAGAAAAAAGTCAGTCTCAGCAGATTTGAGTTGTGAGGGACAGGTGTTGCCTTGATGCCAGCATGTGTCCCAGGCCAAGCTCTTCCCTTGAGATGCTAAATGCATCCTTTGGACTTCAAACTGTTGCATGCGTCACCTCTGCAGCCTTGTGGTAGCAGTCAGGCAATCTTTTACTCAGCATTCGGTGAATGAATTAACTTAAAAACCATGTTTGTCTCGTGCTAAAAGTCTGTAACAGGATTTCTTGACTTTATCAGAGAATAAAAGGCTATTTTAATAAATGTGATGGGATATTGACGAGTGTCCCACAGCACAGTGTTTCTTATTAACTGAAGCTAAAAGTGTGCAGCTGTATAACAAAGCACAATGTTAATTAAATCTGACAATAGCCATTATCAGACTGAAACAGCCAAATGTTGTAAAAAGGCAGAGTTGGGTATATCAGTGATATTGAAGAATGATCAGATACCAGATTATCAATCATTATAGGAGCAATTATTTTATTTACACAGTAATTAACGCTTATTGTTGACTTTAATTTAAGTTCATTAAGTAATTTTGTTTGAATGTGGCTTCAGCAACTCATACCACCAAAACCACATCACTGCCTGAAAGCATTTTGGAAATAAGAAAATGAACATACTGTACATAGGTGTGTTTGTTAAGAAGTACAAACTCTCACAAGAGGATTATTTTTTCTTCACTGAAAGAGCCGAGCACGCTCTATCAACTCAAACTGTGTCAGCTTTCCAACCTAACTCTGTGTCCGAATCATAGATGTCCACAGAAAGCACATTATTCTGGGTGAAACGGGGCAAACAGCGGAGACTTTATTTTAGGAATTATTTTTCGTTTTTCTTCACAGTTTTGTCTGTCTAAAGAAATCAAGTTAGCTGTAAAGTTAAGCAAAAATGATTTGCATTAAAACACTCAAGTGTCCTTGAGTGTTGTCTTGTTTCAGTTGGCGTATCTTTGTGAGTACGCATGAAGCGCCTCAGCTGGCTCCTTCAAATACAAAGAAGCACTGGTTTAAATGATGTGATATGGGCAATCTTTTTGTGAGTGCTTGACTTTACTGACTTTATCTCATCTCCTGCCTTTTCCTCAGTGCTGATGGGACATATGAAGTCTCCTTCTACTCCAACGCTCTGGTCTCCAATAATGGTGAAGTGGCCTGGCTCCCACCAGCGATCTACAAGTCGGCCTGTAAAATCGAAGTGCGTGATTTTCCCTTTGACCAGCAGAACTGCACTCTCAAGTTTCGCTCTTGGACCTACGACCACACGGAGATCGATCTCATCCTCCTCAGTGATTACGCCTCACGCGATGACTTCAAGCCTAGTGGCGAGTGGGATATTGTTTCACTGCCTGGACGCAAGAATGAAGACCCTAACGATATCAGATACCTGGATATTACTTATGATTTTATTATCAAGAGAAAACCTCTCTTCTACACCATCAACCTGATCATTCCCTGCATCCTGATCACGTCGCTGGCTATTCTTGTCTTCTACCTCCCATCAGACTGTGGTGAGAAGATGACTCTTTGTATCTCAGTCCTCCTGGCCCTTACTGTGTTTTTACTCCTTATCTCAAAGATTGTGCCACCTACGTCTCTAGCAGTGCCTCTGATTGGGAAGTACCTAATGTTTACAATGGTGCTGGTCACCTTCTCTATTGTCACCAGCGTTTGCGTGCTCAACGTGCACCATCGGTCACCCAGTACGCACACCATGCCTCCATGGGTCAAGCGTGTCTTTCTGTACCGGCTCCCCTCTTTCCTCTTCATGCGGAGACCAGGAAGTTCCAACATCCGTGAACGGTTCCGGAAAAAACACCAGAAGCAGAAGTACTCTGACCGGAAGCAGTGTGGAACAGAAGTTGGAGGTGGAAGCTCTGTGGGAATGGCTGATTCCTCCTCATCCTTCTTTGTCAATGAGGAGTCAGCCAAGCGCTATGGCTGGAGGGTCAGTGACTGCTCAGAGAACACAGAGTTCAGGAAGAGGATGACGCTCAAGAGCAACATTGACGTGGAGGATGCAGTGGATGGAGTACGTTATATTGCGGAGAAGATGAAGAGTGAGGATGATGATGAAGGGGTAGGTGTTTGGAAGAAGTAATCGGATCTATATCATGATTTATATGCTTATATATATAAAAAAGAAAGTACTTCTTTCTTTTGTAAGGTTTAATCATAATCACTTGTTACCTGAATCTCAGTTCACTTTAGTTCAGACTCATGAACACAAGTGGTTAATATCCAACGTCTTTATGTCTCTGCAGATCATTGAAGACTGGAAATACGTGGCGATGGTTATCGACCGTCTTTTCCTGTGGATCTTTGTGTTTGTGTGTGTAGTTGGGACGATGGGGCTCTTCATGCAACCTCTTTTTCAGAGTTATAACACCCCCATTGTTGAGGACATGGATCATAAATCTGAAACTTGATGTGACTCAGAAGTGACTTTTTATTTCCCGAAGCAGATTTTAACACATAAAGTCATATGTCCGCCTCTCACCTCACTCTGACTGGGAAAGGACGCATTTTAGCCTTTCCATTTCCTCCTCCCCTTCCCTGCTCTGCCTTTTGAACCTTACACATACCCCCGCAGTCCTATAATCAACTCATCTGCCATTCACACAGGGGCTGTGATTGTTTTATTTCAGAGGATCTGCCACCCCAAGCTTTATAACAGAAAAAAATTAAGAAAAAAACATAACCCAAGGTGTTTTTTTGTGTTTTTATCTGTCACAATATTTACTTCAATACCTTTATCTAAAAGGTTGGGATGCTATGCAAAATGTGGTTGTATTCTCATTTCGGAGAGCCAGCACAAGTCTGGGTGTAGCCTCTTGTATCAGCCACACTTTCACTAATCCCTATAAACAAACGACAGCCATGGCTGTAGCAGTGCAATGGCTCGTGCGTGAACCACCAGGCAGCATACCATTCAGTAAAACAAGGCAACAGCCTTTATATCTTTACCTGCAGCATCACTTTGCTTTAAGAATGTGAGTGCTGGATGGACCACAACAGTTTGGAGCATTATGAAACAAAAAGAAAGAACTGGACTGCAAAACAATGCTGGGAAAACTGCTTCTCCCCTTCCTGATTTCTTTCTTTCTTTCTTTCTTTTTTTTTTGCATATTTCTCACACTTAAATATTTCAGAGCTTTAAAAAGATTTTACTATTAGATAAAGATAACCTGAATAAATAGAAAATCCAAACTTACATTGGGCGTAAAGCTAACACAGCAGAACATCATGCCTGCAGTTAAAGCAGGTGGTAGTGTGATGGTCTGGGGCTGCTTTGCTGCCTCAGGACCTGAACAACTTGCTGTAATAGATGAAGACTTAGGCCTACCAGAAAATCCTGAAAGAGAATTTCTGGCCATCAGTTTTGCTCCAGCGCACTCAGGTTATACAACAGGATAAAAAATACACCATCAAGTCAACCTGTGAATGGCTTAAAAAACAAAAATGAAGATTTTGGAGTGGCCTAGTCAAAGTCCAGACTTCAATCCTGTTGAGATGCCTTGGCATGACCTTAAAAGACTGTTCATGACCAAACCCCCCCTCAAACATGGGTGAATTACAACAACTCTGCAAAGAAGAGTGGAGCAAAATTCTACCACAGCGATGACAAAGACTCGATGCGAATTACTGCAAATACTTGATTGCAGTTCTTGCTGCCAAGGGTGGCACAACCAGTTCTTAGGTTTAGGGGGAAATTACTTTTTCACACAAGGCCACATGGGTTAGGATAGACTTTTTTCCCTTAATAAATGAAATCATCACTGAATAACTTGAGTTATCTTTGTCTAATATTAAAATTTGTTTTATGTTCTGAAACATGAAAGTTTTACAAAATGCAGAAAACTAAAACCAGGAAGGGGCGGGGTACTTTTTATAGTAATGTATATTAGATAGAATATAAAAGAAAGTAGAAAATAAACAACTCTGAAACATACTATTAGTACCACGGTAAAAATAAATCTTTTTAACACATATTTTTAGCTTCTACTTTGTAGTATTTTTAGTTAAACAAAGATTTTAAATGATTTTTTTGTTGTATTTATGTTAACATTTTACACAGCGTCCCATAATTTTTTTTAAAACTGGATTATACTTAATACCTTTCTTGTATCATTCTCACAAGAAAACTAGAAAAGAACAAGAGCCAAGTTACAATTAACCAAAATGCTGTTTAAATATAAAACATTAAGCCTGATCTGATCACTTAGGGGTCAATATCTTTCTTAAAGGACTGAAATGTAGCATATTTGAAAACTCACATCTTTACAGGAAACGAGACTGAACTATCATTGTTCTTAAAGGTTACACAAACAACAACTCAGGACTTATATTCCACCCCATTTATTTCTTATCTGTGTCGCTGCGTCCAAATCAAGAAATAATTCTAGTGGCTGTGTCAGGACGTAACTGGGACTGGCATGTGCACAAACCAGTACAGATGCTGATTTTGTTAACTTGAAGAGTGACAGAGCCCAAAGAGAAAGAAAATCTTACAAACCGGCTGATTTTTCGGATGTGGACTTTACACCGCTCATGCAAGCAAAAGATGAATCTGCTTTGTGAAGACACCCAGAAGATGCTCATTCCCCTTGTGTCTTTTTGCCAATACCAATATACAGCCGACACAGAACAGCTGACAGCTGGACTGCTTAAATAACAATGATAGGTGTGTATGAGGGAGGCGACCGACCTTTTGTTTACGCTCACACAGCTCACTGTGCAGATTATAGGCTGACTTGATAAGCTGATCAAATCTATGTGCGTCTTTGTTTGAAATAAAGGCGGGTAAATAGTGCTAAAAATTCTCCAAACCAATGACTGTGAAGCTGTTGCTTGTCGCCGTGCGGATTTTAAAAGTACAGCACGCCGGTCAAAAGCAGTGCTCGTCAGCATCCATCACCAAAAAACCAGCAGCAATAATATTGTACAGTATTTTATACACACTGACGTGGATGAAATGACCAAACAGCCTGTCGCTTCACTTTCATCATCTGCCATCATATTGTATACTTTACAGCCTGTTCTCAGATGAATTACTTGAAATCATATCCTGTTATTTCTGAGAGGTATTATATAACGTTTCACCTTCCTAATGCACTCGTCGGTCACTGCTGCCAATGTCAGCTTGGGAAAAAAAGGGTTTACTGATCTAATCCAGCTTGATTGATTTGTTTCATTTTTCATTTGTTGGTGGATGGTTGAATGAAAACATGCTTTCTATGTTTCTTCCCAGTAGACAGTCATGTTACGTGACATGCTGAGTTTTGTCTAACAGTAAGGGGCTGTGTTGGGACCTGATGTCTTGCTAAATGAATCAATAAAGGTTAATGAAAGCAACAAGCAGGCCTCATGAATCCCATCTACACTATTCACTCTAGCCTGTGGTTTTTTTCCACATGCCTTAGTTTCTGCGTTTCTCTCTATCTGGGACATTTTTATTCTCATTCTCTGTCTTCCTTCTTGATTTTTTGCTTATATAGTCGGAGATCATTTCACCTGAAAGTACAAAAGAAAAGAAAATAATTTTGAGCAGGAGTTTCTGGAGTGTGTGCGATCTGTGTGTCCTGGGTCAGTGCTAAAATTAGTCAGCTGACTGCAGATTCATTAGACAGTCTCGTATCCTCAGGCCTTGCAACTTCACCTTCTGTTAGCTTAAGATGGCAGCGAGGCTGCATGACTGCTGAAGAGACACAGCTGGTGAATGAATGGACATACACACAGTCACAAATCTGGAAAGTCTGTATTATGATGCTTTATCACAAAGCAGCTACTTATCTGGGTTTTAAAGTATCTGATAGAGGCAAATATTTGGGTACATGTTACAGATAATCACATTTCACACAATCAGAGTCAAAGCTTGGTCATTATTTACTGTTATTCTATTATTATATAATTTCCAGTAACAATTGGAGCTTGGAAAACAGAATCTCCAACATATTTATTATTAACATTTTTTATTTGTTCTTCCAAACCAGAAATACAAACAAACTGGTGTGTACAGCAAACGTACTACTGAGTGGGCCACTGTAATTTTCCTGCAAATGTTATATCAGCCACACACATGCCACATTTATTACGTAAC